GCCTTACTACTAGGAGCAAGAAGCTACTAGGGGCTCCTGGCCTTACTGGTGGATTGGTTCACCCTCCCACTCCCTCCTAAACAAGTTCGCTGGACTGTGGAAAACACTCCTGGTCAGGGGGGTTCGTGGTCACTCTGCCAACGAAAAACGATCTCAAGCAAAGGCCGGTGCACCAAACCGTCCCTTTCATCTTTAGTGGATGGTCCCGATGGTCCCCCCACAAATGGCGCCTGGCGAAATCCACTCTTCCAGAACTTCCAACAGAGGTTGAATGGCCCTATAGACTATCCCATAGGTACCCCAGTAGCGTCCTATTTACGGTCACTTGACCTCTCTTGGTTTTCCATACTTCTCACTGGCCCGGAACGTCCTCCCACTTCCCCTCGCCCGATGGCAAATCCGTCCCTCCGCGTCCTCCCTGCGTCCTCCCCGCGCCCAAAGCCTTTCCCGTCAAAGCGCCGATGGACACACAGCACCCAGCGCTCCAAACCATCCGACGAAACGCCACCCAAAGAACTGCTCATTGGTCATCCCAAAAGCCAAATTCCAGCCGACTGGCGCGTCCTTTTTGCAGCTTGCAGCTGTCTGTCATGAAAAACGCGGCACCGATCCACAGGCTGCGCTGATGTCCGTTGTACGAAATCGCCCTTCGGTTGCTACACTGCAACCAACCCCTCCACACCAAGATGCCAACAAAACCGGGCACAAGGGAACTTCTGGTCACCTCCGAAATGGATCTGAGACCCAATTCCCTAGGGCTCCAACCACCTCCTGAGAGAGTGGTTGGGGTGGGTTTTGGGGGGCTAACCACCTTCTGAGGATATGGGCCAGGAGCCCTAGGGATTATTCCCTTTCCCTTCGCCGTGTTTGCGGTTGTGGCAGCACCGGCATGACCGACCTCAAGACCCCGTCGACCGGCACCAGGACCGACACCCAGTGACCTGTTCAGAATTGGTATACGTGACCCTTTACAATCTTAAGTGGCCTCATTCTGAGATCTCAAAGTGTCACTGGAAAGGTCCTGGCAGGTTTTGGGACCCGTTTTTCAAGACCCATCCGGCCAAGATGGTCCACCGATCTGGACCAAAATGGGACTCTGAGATTGGACTCATAGGAGTCCGGTCTCGCAGTCGTCCAACCCACGAGAAACCCGAGCTATGCAGGTCCCATGCGAGGGGCATGCAGCGGCCGAAGTCACTTGGGAGGTGTCGCACCTAGGGCTCCAACTAACTCCTGACAAGATGGTTATGGTGGGTGCCAGGGGGGTCTAACCACCTTCTGAGGGTAGGCTTAGGTGTGACAAACTCATCCACTGCGCGAAGGACGTATGTGAAGTACGCATGTTGCTGGAACAAAATAAACTGGCAATATCTCAAAGTTCTGAACCTTCCGGCATTGGATCGTTCACAAAAAGGCCACTTTGATTCATTGGTGGGCTGCCAATCAGTCCAAAGGGCTTGCGAAATAGCGCTGGGAAGACACAATCAAACAACCTCCAATCGACACGGCGGGTATAGGTGAGCGGCCCTGTGAGCGGCGGTCAACGGCGGTCGACGGTCTTTATGTGCTTAGGACAAACAACAACACAAAATGGCAAGTCTACGATCCAAATACAGTTTCGCTTTGCAAACGCAAACACAATGCGAAGATGTTGGAAGTTCATGCGGTTCATTCGGACATGCTCTGGCTTAGGGCATTATAGGGCTTTGAAGCAGGCGCAGTCGCGCAGATTCTGCGCTTTTCGTCACTCCTCTGAAGAAAGCTGTCGTGGGGCGACTGTCTTCCTTTCCTGATCATCTTGAGAGCTAAAACAATAGCCAATAGCCCCTTCGCACCTGACAAAGACAAGCCATTTCCCTGGAACAAAGAGCACCGAACTCTGCACCGGTTCTTGTGGCAAAACACAGAAAAAGGTGACCTATCCATTTTACTGGGGGCATTGGTCACAGGGTCATGCAGCTATCACACGCTTGCGCAGCATACGCTTGTAATTCAAACTGCTGGCAGGCCCGAGTTTTGAAGTCTGCCGCGCACGGACGACAAAGCTTGAAGGATGATAAGCAGGATATACCCGTCTCCCTTTCAAATGGTCTGATCTCTTTCAAAGAAGCTATATGACTTTGTAACTTCAACAGCACGGGAAGACATATAAATATCTTATAGTCTCTGGCTGTTATGGCGATGAACCCAGCACTGGCGATGCATGACGCTTTGCGGCCCGCTCGCTCGCGCGGGCCGCGCGGTACGACGGTACGCCCCGAGGGCAGTACGAGAGAGCAGTCGAGCGGGAAGAGGGGGTCGAAACCCTACCAACAGAGGTTAGGTTAAGTGACCTTATAGGACCCTTACTGGGGTACCTATGCATGGGATAGTCTAGTTCGGGTGCTTCAACCTCTGTTGGTAGAGGAAGATTCAACGGAATCAGGAGCCGAACATTGACTTCGTTGTTCATCTTTTTCCGTGGGTCTTCAACCAATCCGTGGCAGCTTATCCGGCCGGATTAAAGGTTATAGCATGGTTTAGCGTATGTCTATACACCCATGAGAAATCAATTGGGCTACGAAGTTGTGGAGGTCAAGTCTGACCTATATATGACTATGAGGCATGAGCTTGCAGTGTGCTGGGCAATCTCTTTGGAGTTCATGAAATGCTCTGTTGTCCATGAACTGTCAGGCCACATCTGTACTTCAGCCCTTCAGCCTGCCACCTGTCCAGCGGTCCAGGACGCGCCCGGTCAAGCGACCTCGTCGTCCGGCGCGACCGAGGTCGCGCTCGGCCGCGCGGGTGGACGTTCAGCGTGGAGACAGGACGCTGAGGAAGTTGGAGCACTTCTCAGGTGAGCAGCTTCGAAAACCCCTATTACTTTTTTGATCTTTTTTGTATCATCCAGGTTTGCTTTCGCAGAGCTTTCGCGGAGCTTTCGCGGCCTGCATTCTGGCTTTCGCGCAAGGTGTGGTGTTATGTGGGGCTTTCACGGTGGCTTTCGCGGCGATTCGTTTTCGATTGGGAAATTCGATTGGGATATTGTAAAAAAGTGATTGATCTATATATAAGTTATCCGATATAAGTGTCCTTAGGGTGATCAAAACTGAACAAATTTCTTTCCGGCAACATCCTGGCCCAAGGAGTTGTAGCAGCACCGTTCAAGTATTATTGCTGTCATCAGAAGAGGAGGAAAACTTGCTGAAACTTTTTGCTGGGGCCAGATACCTTTCCCGGATATTTTCGACTTTCGCGGTTCTTTCGCGAGGCTTTCGCGCGGCTTTCGCGGAAATTCATCTGGGCTTTTCGATTTTCCCCTGAAACACTTGCTCTTCAGTGCTGCTGCTGCTGCTG